TTTTTTTTTTTTTTTTTTTTTTTTTTATTGTATGTAACGCTTATTAGCCACAACTGTGATTCTTCAGAATAGAAAAATAATAGACGTGAAAAAAGTGATGGTCAAAAAAAGACAATTTTTTTGATCAATTTTTATTTCTTTATTTGGTACTTATATGACCTAATAATAAAAATTTTTTAGAAATCTAAAATTTGGTGCTAACCTGCGGTATGCCAGTATCCAGTGATGAAGTACCGCTGTGGCCTACCCGTTGTTTGTCTTCCACTTTACTTATTTTGGGTTGTTCCTATCATCGCTGTAATCGACGCATTCAACTGTTCAGATGTAAGTTGTTTTAGTTCCTGTTTAAAGAACAGTGTCAAAAAAATCTATAAACATTGTTGTAACCGCTGCAATCTTTCATTTTCTAGCTTATTTGAAGCAATTTTGTTATCAAAAACCTAAAATAATCTTCAAAAGTCTTTTAGTCATTCCATAAAAAATATCAAAAAAACTCTAAATTGCAACAAATTTTATGTCTAGTTTAGTTGTTTGCTATTCTGAAATTTTAACAGCTACTGAACAACTGCACAAGCTTAAACAGGTCAAAAAATCGACATTTCTCTGGTCAGTGGAAACGAATAGAGAGACTCGAGCATATCTCTTTGGAACGATACATGAACCGTTTACAGAGATTTGGCAAAGTGGTAAACACATTGTTAAACCATCTTTAATCCAGCAGAAAAAACCAATTTAAACGCTAATTTTACTGCATAAACACACTTTAGCAACTGTATTTTCTTAGCTTAGCGAAAATGCTTTTAGCAGTAATTATGCGAAATCGAGTATAAAGGTTTTTTCTGCCAGAATAAAGAAAAATTTCCTCTTGAGGGTGCAGCAGGTGGCTTAAATTTTTTTTATTCTATAGATGGAAATATTTTCTTAATTGGCACTCATCATGCCGCAATAATTATAATGCTTAGCCTACAGCCTTTCAGGCCAACAAAGTCTCAGTATTTGGCAAAAATTGCTGACTGCTTAAAACAATGCGTAAACATACTGAGACTGTATACAAAACGTACATTTATTGACTTTATAATTACCTTGTCCACCTTTTCACCTAAATGTCTTCTTTAGACGTTTGTTTCAACTATATTACTACCTGCTGTTACATAAATGTTTATATATCTTTCAAATTTAGTTTCTCAAAAAGTTAAAGAAGCACTGGAATACTCAGATTCGTTAGTGCTTGAAATCGATCTATCAGATCGATCAAATGTTGATGCTCTACTGCGCTGCATGCAAATGGATCATGGAAAAACTGTACAGAATTATTTGCCGCATTCCATATACGTCCGTCTAAAACACTGTTAGTTTTATAACTTTTTGATTTTTAATTTACAAATTTATGCTTCTCTCTCAGCAGCCATACAATACAAACAAACATCTCGCTGAAAAAATCTTGAGTCAAAAAAAAGAAAACTACAGATTATATCTGAAGCGAAATTTCAGTTATAAATCTTTAATTTTTTAGAGATCATAAGGCTTCTCGATAAAAGTTTAGTTATATTAGTCGAGTGCCGGCAGCTGAAATTCTTCAAATGTTAAATCATTAATGTTTAACTTACACTAATAAAACCAACAAAAAAAAACTACTTGTTAAACTTGGAAGAACTTTATCATCTGTTTATAACCTTTATCTCAACCTTTTTTTTATCAAACTATCAAATACAGCTTATTTGAAAAGACATTTTTCTTATTTATTGAAAAATTTATTAATTAGATTTTAAAAATGTAGATTTTCTATTATTGTATCAATACAGCACAATTTTTCACAAACAGATATGAGAAAATATCGACAAAAACTGATTCGATGGTTTATCAAGAAGGGTGAATCTCGGCAAGCAGCAAAGAAACATGCTTATGAAACTTTTGCAAATATAACCGGTAAGCTTAAAGCAATTTTGGTCTTAATAGTTGACGCTTAAAAAAGTTGCACAAAGGAGAATAGCAAAAGTGTAAAGCATTAGAAGTTATCGGAACAAATTTATTTATCATTTTTTTGCCTGCTTCGGAGCTATTTATCTAATTTTTTTTTTTTTTTTTGTTTGTTTGTTTGTTTTTTGACAACATAAGTGCCTACATTGTTAAAATTCTTTCCTTAAACTTTTAACTTTAGATCAAATAATTTCTCATAAGTTGATAAAGTTTAGTAAATTTATAATCTGTAAAACATTATTTATGTCTCTATTTCTTTTTTCTTTTTTTTTGACGCTAATTGGTCAGGAAAGAAGTAGAGGTTAGGTAATATTTAAGTTGCTAAGCAATATATATTATCATAGTAGAAAAAAAAATATGTATAATTATTTTACCATTTCATTTGTTTATTGTCACATAGTTATCTCACTGACAGTAGTCTCTCTAAACGTAAAACGTATCATCTCCATTTTCCACTTGAATACACCGTATTCATTCCAATATTTCATTAGTGCTATTGTATTGTGTAAAAAACTGAAAACGGAAAACAAAAAACAGACAAAAAAAAAAAACAAGAAAAAAAAGCAGCAACAAATGAGATACCTCCATTGTTTTGGAAAAATGAACACACCAATTAAATGTGAATGTCTTGTTTATGTCTGTTAACAACAAATTAGCCAACAATATTTGTTTTGTCGGTGTTATTTTTGGTCACATTTTGCAAATATTTGCTTCTTTGCTAACAACAGTTCTGTCTTGTTGACCCCTTTCCATAGGGTTATTGCAAAAAATCCTAACTAACCTCTGCAATCGTCTCTTATAAGGTGCTAAAATATGTTGCACTTCAAATGTGACAGAGCGTGTAGCAGGAGGAGAAAAGGGAGAAGAAATGTAGATCAGATAAAATAAAATTCTTGTTGGTCTGCTTTTCCTACTTTTTGTCCTCAAAATCTAAAAAAACTACTTGTTTTTTACAAAGTAATCTTTTTTTGTTGTTATTTTAAAGCTTTTACTGTCTGATTGTTCATAAATATAATTATTAATAGCATATAATTTTACCTGCTAACAAGGTAAAACACCTGGACATACGAATAATTTACAAACTTTTTTTTTTTTTTTTTTTTTAATATAATCAATTGAAGCAGCGAAAAACAGTTTAATATCTGTCTGCAAAGCAGCATTCTTGGGTTGTAGGCGTATATTTATAAGCTTTATCAAAAAATGACGCATTTTAACGTTCAATATGCACTAATTTACGTTTATAATAATTTTTCAAACAAAAAGCATGTTGAAAATAAGACCTGAAAAAAAGCTTCGTTGTCTTGAATGAAAACCTACAGAAAAATGCTTAATAAACGCTATGATACTGAAATTACAGTAGTTTTTGATGGAACTGTAAGGGGAAAAAGCGGTATTTTGAAATGCAAAAAAGCTACATTTACTGTAGATATATTAATTTCAAGAAAAAGAGGAAGATAAAGAAAATGTTTTCAGGAATGAGTGAAATGATAAAAAAACCTACTAGGTAATCGTCATTTTTAAGTGTATCAACTGATTACGGTTTAGAAACCAAATTGCACCTCGCTTTACTAACGTTGTTCAACTGTGATGGTAGGCCTCAACAAACAGGCTTTTTTCTTTTCAAATTGTAATAACCTTTTCTGTTTCGTGTAAAAAGTAATAAAAAGTAACACTGTACTTTGTGTTCAAGTAGAAAGGGGGTACAACATATTAAAATGACAGAATGATTAGAACAATTAACAAAAAAAAAAAAAAAAATTTTTTTTTGTTTGAATCTTTTGATAGTGTAACCAAATAATAATTTTTGTTGATAGCAGTTATTGTTGTCTATTTTACTACAGTCAGCTTTAATCAACTCAGTTTTAACAACAATTTTTTTAATTCAGTTCTTGTTTTTTAAGTTACATATAAATTAAGCTAAAAAAAAAAACTGTTTTTTTCTTGTTTAATAAAACATTAAAAAAACCTTGAAAAAAGAGTGTTGATTATTTAGAATCTGTAGTCAGAACTGATACAGTTGAGAAGAATTGTTGTTGTTAGTTTGAGCTGCCAACGTAATATTTTTGTGAACAATTGATTAATACATTTTTACGTTATTTTTTTTCTTCTTTCTAATTTTTTCTTAGTTAAGTCTGAGAAAAAATAAAATTTTTTTTCTTGCATATCTGCTGAACAGTTTAATATTTTAATGATAACTGTTATTTCAACTAATAATTATTTTTTTACATTTTAGTTGTTTCTGTATCAGAGACTTAAATTGTAACAGAATGATATCTGCAAATACAGTAAGCAATACACTGTTTTCAACACTGTTCTCAATTGCAGTGGTCTTTTTTTCATTTACTGTATCAATTTCTTCGACAGTTTTACGTATTTTTTACTTATTTCTTACAATATTACAGTGTAACATTTTATGAACAAATGCTGTTGTTGTTGTTTATTTATTTTAACTGAGAAATTTCAAAAAATTTTATTTATTTTTTTATTATTAATAAATAACTAAACTGTAAAAAATTGTTTTGTTAAGCCAATAAAAGAAAATAGCGTCATTTCCTTACTTCTAAACTACCAATGAAAAATTATATCTTCTAAAAAGAAATTTTCTTTTTAACTATTAATTTATCATTGCTGACAAATAAATATTTATTGCTTTCTCCCAAAAAAAAAAAGAAAGTTTCAAGTTGTTTTTTTATAGACTATTAATTCTATTTCTTCCTTGTTCCTCTGCTTTTTTGGTGTATTCTAATATAAAGGTCGTATTGTCAGCTGTATCCAACACCTTTAATTTCAATTGCATCTACTCAAAGAAAAATAAAGAAATAAATAGTTATAATAATGATAGCTACAAAGTGTATTTAAAAAAAAAAAAAACAATTTAACACTAAATTTTCTTCTCTGTTCGACGTTTTTTTTT